TTATGTTAAACCTAATACAGTTTGTACAACAAAAAATGTAAAAATGTTTCTTCCTTCGAATTAAATTTTGACTATTCCACCTTGCACTATCCAAATACACTAAAAAAATTATGCAGGCCAGACTTCCCCGTCCTTTGACCGATCCTCTATTTCGAAATTAATTAGTTTTTGTGTTCGACAAACAGGCCGAAGCGGCCTTTGTGCCAGATCTTCTAATTAAGTTAGTAACAAACAATTGCGCTAGGGGGCATTGTAATTCGGTTATACAAGCTTTATGTACGACGCGTTCGTCATGCGTCGGTATGATCAAAGTGTGAGGCACGAAGGTGTGAGGAACAAGTGTCGATACAGGAGGAAATAGTTCGTACATTAGTGTCGTTCAAAGATTTATCGCCTAAAATGCTAATCTACTAGTAAAAATGAAAGATGAAGTTGGACTTCCTCTATTTTTGAAAAATAGAATTTTCCATATTTTCTCTATTTAAGCGCGGTTTTTTCGCGATTTAAAAAAAAATTAAGGTCATGGAGCAGTCGGATTAAGCTCGTCAAAATACATATGGACATAAAGGTCTAGTATTTGGAACAAACCACTTTACTTTTTTCATGCCTGTAAAATTGATATTTGATACAAATACACGAAACTGATATAGTGAAACAGTTGATTACTAAAGGTTAACTCATAGAAGTTAGTTAATTAACCATTAAAGACTCTGAATATAAAAGAAGTAATTATAAAGGATATCACATAGTATTAAATTGATAATTTTAAATTTAATTCACAAATATAAAATAAATTTTTAAAAGAATGCATGACAGCGACACTTGTTCACAAGAAATACTATGGGACAATATAATATAAAACCAGAGTGACATAATATATCAAAAGACAGCTCGATATCCATAGATGAATTTGATATGCATAATTTGGGTAGACGAGTAACTGTAGAGAAGATATCTTAAATGAACTGAAGTCATATATGAAAATTTATTATCAAATGTCAAATTCAAATTAAATTATAAAAATTATTACATGTCAAAACTAAAGGTGGCTTTACAAGTACCAGAAAATGACCTAGAAAAAAGAACAGAAAATAAGGAATATTTAATAATAAGTAATAAATTTATATGTTAAAAATAAAAGGACATTGTAACAAATGTATTAGGTATAAGAAGTGCAGTGAAAGTGTTGTGAAAAAAAGGAAGACTGGAATTTATGTGAAGGGACCTTAAGGAAAAATAAACACTAGAAATTTCCAGAAGGTGAAAAAACAAATGTTTATTTATTAGTTACGGCTTGTTTTTTTTGGTAAAAAGCTAAAGAGGAGAAGTTGCTCCAACAAAAATTAAATAATTCAAGAAAAAACAGTCAAGAAGTAAATTAAAACTTACTAGTAACATCAAAAATCGTTTGTCTTCAAAATCCACATAAAGTCGACAGTGAAAAAAAATTTGCAACAAATATCAGGCAGTATCCGGAGAGGTATTCCAGTGGCCCATAAATGGTACAAAGGACATCGTCAGCGTTTCCAACAAGGAAAGAAGTACCCAGTAACCAACAGGTACCTAAAAATAGAAAAATAAAGTGCACTTAATTCATGGCTATAGCTTACAAATAATAAAGTATTAATACAGTATACCTTAGAAAAGGAAAATTTAATATAACAGGACTTACCTGAACAAATTTACACACTAGCAATCCAAAAACTAGCTTTAAAAACTCTAATATTGAATGAACTCACAACAAGTGCTTAAAAGGGACGGCCATTTTAGTTTTAAACGTCAGATCATGTTAATTGAATTTGTATAAGTTAAGATATGCAATACACAATACACAGACGAGTGGTGACAGTAGTATCAATCAAGAATTCAAACATCATAAAAAATTTTAAATAAAAAAAGGAAACAAGCCCAGTCCTTGTATTGTAAAAATTGTTGTAGGATAAGGAAAGGTACAGAAAAACCAAAATATTCTTTATGATTGTTCAACCTAAAAAAAAATTCATTTATACGAAGCCATTTCTGATTTAAAGCCAACCAGTTGAAAATTTGTTTTCTTATAATCTCCTTAACGAATTTAAATAAATATTGTATAAAATTGTATTAACTCTATTTTCTGGAGTGCTACATTGAGCGAGTTTATGAATGAATGATACAGAACCGACTCCTGAGATTCAAATTAAAACAAATATCTGAGTGACAGCTAGCAAGGGATAAAAAATTTAATATACGAGGTGAATAAAAGTAAGGTTTGTATTCTACAATTTACAGTTAATCTAAATATGAATAAAAAGTAATTATAAAAACAAAATCAAAAAACAAAACAATACATAAAACACACAAATTAAATTAAATTAAATTAAATTAAATAAAATTAAATTTATTATAAAACCACACACAAAATAATATTTTAAATATATTTTCATAACAATATATTATCATCTAAATTGTTTACTAAATTTAATAACTCTAAGTTAAAGCGTTGCAGAGATATTTTTTCGAAATTTTAGGCGTCATCTTGAAGACCACTTGGATACAACTTGTATACAGTGCGTTTATGATGAAAGGAAATAAAATTCAGGAAATTATTTTGTGGAAATAGGCTCGGACACGACGATTAGTATTTTTAGTTGCGAATTTTTTGACATAAGAAAATTGTATACAGAGTGTCTCAAGAAGAACATACGTAGTCATCGTTGTTTTTAAGGAACACCCTGTATATTACACCATTTTTGAACTGTACTGTAAATTCTGACCACTTTTTTTATAACATACCATATCTCTAAAATAATCGTAATAATGACGTTTGCTGAATACCCTGTACATCATTTTGACTGTAGTTACCCCTCGAATATTTACAGAAATACATTCCGTAAACATCCTCGTCCCCACATTTGTACCACTTTAACTTTAATACACCCTCATACAAGCTGCGGTTGCAACGACGGCAACTTTGCAACATAGATGGTACCGTAAGCGCGGATATAAATGCACTCCATTAGAGGTTAATTTTGCTGTTGTTCTAAATACACTTTACTGCAGTTCGCAGAAGACCAGGATTAATTAATGCACAAACGGGGGGATTCATTGGTGTTTGGCGGTTAACTGCACACATTTCTCGGCTCCTGTGGATCATTCAGGATTAGGTAAAGGACGCGTTTTGGTGTTACATCTAATACGTTAATGGTGGATTGTAGAAATATCATCTCTTGCCACTGACATCGGCTTAGTGGAATAACTACAATAACAGTGGAAAAATGAGAGTTGTCAGTTTTACTAATTTAGAGAAGTGCCGGATTGTCCCTAGAGACCACATTTGAAATAGTTCGTGTAATTAAAGTAAAATAATTCTTAATTATTTTCCTATTTCAAAAGCTACACTTTCTCATTTGTAAAAATGTGAATCAATATCTACACTGAGCATTGAGCATTTTTGATCATTTTACTCTTTTGTGGTTATATATGTTATGGACCAAGTGATAAATCGGGCATTATACATAATGCCCGGTCATTATGTATAATGCCCAATATGAGTGTGTGCTGTGTACTTCATATTTTGAGGAAATTGGGAAAAGAGTTTTTACTGTATATACTTTATATTTATTGATGTAGAAATAATAGGCGTTTTCGAAAATTCACTTAGACTGCACCTCCCCATTATGCAACACCTGTCCGTGCTTATTTAGATGAGCTGTCCCCGAATCGTTGGATAGAGAAAAGGGGGCCGATTGAGTGGCCAGCCAGATCGCCTGATTTGACACCCCTAGATTATTTCTTGTGGGGATACTTAAAAAGCATAGTATACGTTACTAGACCGGTTAATTTAGAAGATTTAAAAGCAAGAATTCGTCACGAGATACATCGTATACCTCCTGAAGTTATTGATAATGTTCAAAAAGAATTTATTAATCGTCTTGGCTACTGTCAGGAAGCCAACGGTGCACAATTTGAACATTTAATTTAGTCGATTTTTACATAATCATTATCATTTTCAATATTGTGAAAATTAAATTTTAAAATCTTCAAACATTATTTTCTTGAAATTTTTGTTATGTAACACCATAATTTTGCATGATCTGTGTATGTAGAATGACACGCTCTTTCAAATGGCATGGTCAAAATTGAGGGATGCTATTTAAAAAAATTGTCGATGACGTCATATCTCCAACAACGATGACGTCATAAGTATGAGTCGTATGTCAAAAAGTGCCTTTTTTAAAAACAAACTCGACGTGCCAGGGGATTTTTTCGAAAACTTCTCAATTTAAAAAATAATGAATTTATTCGTTACTTTTCGAAAGCACTGTATACTAAACTTTCATAGGCTTTACAGATCTTAACAGGAAATATTTTTCTTCATTTGTCACATTGAAAAGGGTCTCCCTGTATATTTGTATAAAATGACTGAAAGACTTAGCGTGAGTTTCTAGTTAGTAGATTAGGCTAGGTTAATTTAGGCTAAGTAGAATTTAAAATGTATTATTAGGGGTTTACGAAAATTAACTCGTAGATAAAGATGATGATCTGAGCAGTCTAAGTGAATTTTCGAAAACACCTATTATTTCTACATCAATAAATATAAGGTATTTACAGTAAAAACTCTTTTCCCAATTTCCTCAAAATGTGAAGTACTTCTTAGTTTCATTTAATACGTTTTAATAATAAGTGTGAGTATATTAATATTTCGCTGATTTTCTAAGTAATGGGAAATGCGCACCATTACAGTATACCTAACTATTTAACCTAATGCAGAGATAAAATTCTAATTATCTAATAATATGTATAATGGAGGGCGATTTCCCTAAGAGAAGTGAATAAATGGTTTTCCATTCGGATCTAGATTTTTAATTTTGTACATATATAAAAAATTACAGTAAAAATTCATGGTAATACTAACACAAAGCGAAAAAGTAAAAGAAATTGCCAAAGTAATTAAAACTGATTAAAAATTTACAGAATTCATCATCATGCAAACTTGTGACACATTGGAAATGAACGTAGAAATGGATAAAATAAGACACCTCATCGGTGGTACGAGATTTATAAAACGAACACTATGCCTCGTATTTCAAACGAGTTCTTTTAAAACATATCAACTATTTTACGATATATATTGCAAAAAGGGAGCTAAGATGTCAACTTTGCCGTAAATTAAGAATGTCCTTGTAGCTCGAAAACCATAAAAGATACCACTCTATATATATTTCCAACACCTAACCCTATCATAAAACAATTCTAAAAACCCTCAAAAAAACTACAGCCACCCCAACTGCACAACTATTCGATGCAGAGAAACCTCTCATGGACGCCAAAATAACTCCGATCACAATTTGAAAGTTTACCATACAATATTCTCCTACCATCCAACATTACTCTGCCGTTTCCTTAAACATCATCAACAATCTTAAAAATGTTCGTCTAGAATTTAATTGTTAATTCAGGAGTCAATAAAGATGTAACATAATAATCAAATGCGTGATTTTTCTTGCTGGTTAAGTACTTTCTAAATGCTAAATAGTAGAAAAAATATACATTAAAATTTGGAATAATTAAAATAATAATAAAATAATTCTTCTCTATCTTTTTATTTCAATTTTGCCAAAAATAATAAAGTTACATTTTCTCATATTTAAAAAAATTTCACGTGTCCTATGTAGAATGAATTTGATCTTTTACACGAAAGAAGTCTTCAATGGTTTCCTCATTTTTGTAATTCTTTGTATTCGTTTATAGAATCATTTTATCACACCTGTCACTTTAAAATAAATTAAAGAACTACATTTCTTTTATAAATTGTGTCCATTTCTTGTGTATACATGTTAGGGAAATAACGGCAACAAAACAGCAGATAACAGAAAACTTATAAATAACCTAAAACATTTAGCCTTTTTTATACCAAATAATTATTATCAATACATAGCACATATCAAAGAAGTTAACAAATTGATCATCATGTGAACAATACGGATAGTCAAATTTCGCTATCTATTCGAGATTTATTTCGCTAAAAATAATTGTAACCAACAATAACATCGACATAATTTCAGCGTATTGTTACTCTAAACATAATATGCCCTAGGGAAAATTTGCTTAAGTATTTTCTTACAACTACTGGTGCCATCTGTCTAAGAATTTACAAATTCGACATTACCCAATAATATTCGCTATTCATTTCTACCTGTATTTCACATAACTTAAAATAATACCATTAATTGCCGATACATTATGGCAAGTAGCCAATTTACTTACCTGCCTTATTTCATTTTACGCACTAAGGTAGGCTATTTTTAATTTAATTCATAAATATACCCATATCTTTGGTAGGAGAAAAAACATTGCGTGAAAAATTATTTATTCGCTCATGTGCTTCCACACTGGTGAAAAAACAAAAACAGTTTTTACCTACAAAAACATTTTATTAACCTTATAATCACTAAAGAAACAGTGTAACAAATTTTGACAAATGATAGTACCATTTAATAAATTAAAGTGTTTTCTAAGGTATGTAAAGAATGTTAGTCAAAGTTTTTTTACATTATTTTACGTTCTTGTTAAATGTATGAACAAATAAAAATGGTTGACTAGCTCTGACGTTAAAGACAAATATTCCAGCATTAAAAAAGAACTGAAATCCTTCTGTAGCAGAGGATTAATTAGATAAGGTCGACTCTAGATAAGGACAACCGGATGTACAGAGAATTAATCTTGTTTGTCCAGGCCATTAAACATCAGGAAATGCTCCTGAGCGTCGTTTTACTCAGCCTCTGGGGGTTATATAGTGTGGCACTAAAAACATTGAATAGCACATTGTTTTAAAAATATAAAGTTTTAATATTTAAAGCACGAATTTAATTATTAATATGAGTATTCGTAATCGTTATTAAATGAATACAAATTAAATATTCAGTATGGATTTCTGAATAATTTATTGAAAAAATATATATTTTTTGAATTTTACAACTACATTTTGCTTATTTGTTTAATTCTAAAAAAAACAAATGTATTCAGCTACAAAGAATTAGTACAAATTTGTGGTCAAAATATTCACAAATTGTCTGTTATGAGCAATGTCTCGAATATCGTTATATATGAGGAGTATTCATAGTCGTTATTCAATGAATACAAATTTTCAGTCTGGATTTTATAGGGAAAAAATTGCTTTAAATTTCAAAATAATTTTTTTCAGTACCTAAATTATTCTTAAAATTCCGAATATAATGTATTCATTGAATAAAATAAGACAATTGTCTTATTTTTAGTCAAACCGGTTTTTCCACAAAATTTGCATTATGGTTAAAATATAACCACTAATAAGACGGTATATAATACGAGAATATTCAGTAGTTATTATTCAACAAATACCAATATTCAGTAAGGATTTTATGAATAATTGGCTAAAATAAAACTACTTACGTAAACGTTGATGTTGAACCTACCTATAATTACAAAAAACGAATGAAAATACATAGAATTTATTTATGAATACTAATACTGAATTTATAATCGCATTTAATGAATACGAATACAAACTAATATTCGTAAACATTCTATGAACACCGAATAATTTATCCACCATGCAGCTTATTAAATAATACATTAAGCTATCGAATTTAATACATTTTTGCCCACTTTATTTTAATACAAATCCAAACAATATAAATCCATGTTTTTCTTCCTATTTGCTTTACCTTAAAGTTATCTTTTCTTCCGTTTTAACACCGATAATTATTATTAAAACAGAAAGAGTGACCGCAAAAAAGCCATTTTTCAGCCTGTTTTTAAGACTTTTTTAAGACATAGGCGACAGGGAAAATCCTAAAAATATTCTAAAAATATCCAAATACTCGTCATGAAAAATGAAAATGAGCAACACTTTCAGTTTTTCGAAAAACACTCTTATTTAGGGGTTGAAAAGACAAAAAAAGTGAACAAATTAAGAATCATCAACAGTTGTAAAACCCCAAATATTTCTATGTTGTTATCAAAATAATATTATGAAAGTGAAAATATCTAATTTCGTATTTGATACGGTCTTGTCCGGATTGAAAATCAACCCATATTATCCCTAAAGGGGTGAAATCATCCCCTAAACGCCTTAAAATGCAAAAAATATATTAAAAGTTACATTTTTTCTTTTTCTTTTATACGTATATGGTTGAACTTAAGGGTTGGTTTTACCCTCATTTAAGGATATTTTCCTTCGCATCTAGTGATTGTGTTCAATTATCACGTTTAAAAGAAAAAGAAAAAAATTGTAACTTTTAATATATTTTTTGCATTTTTAGGCGTTTTGGGGATTACTCCACCCCTTTAAGGATATTAAGGGTTGATTTTCAATCCGAACAAGACCGTATCAAATACGAAATTAAATATTTTCACGTTCACAATATTATTTTGATAACAACATAGAAATATTTGGGCTTTTACAACTGTTGATGATCTTAATTTGTTCACTTTTTTTTTACTTTTCAACCCCTAAATAAGGGTAAATTTCGAAAAACTAAAAGTGATGCTCATTTTCATTTTTCATGACGGGATTTTGGATATTTTTAGAATATTTTTAGGATTTTTCCTGTCGCCTCTGTCAAAGTCTCAAAAACAGGCGGATTTCCATTACTGAAACATGAACTTAAAAGTATAATTAGTTAATTGTTGTGTTTCTCTGTTTAACAAAAATGCAGGAAGGAGTACTGATATTTTTTTTTCTTTTACAGCCGGAGAAACGATGTACCAGTGCAGCAATATAGACTATTTTTCCAGAGAAGTGTACAGTCCAGATCCTACGGATTCNCAAATTAAGAATCATCAACAGTTGTAAAACCCCAAATATTTCTATGTTGTTATCAAAATAATATTATGAACGTGAAAATATCTAATTTCGTATTAGATACGGTCTTGTCCGGATTGAAAATCAACCCATAATAAAAAAAATGCCAAAAATATATTAAAAGTTACAATTTTTTTTCTTTTTTTTTATACGTATATGGTTGAACTTAGAGGTGGTTTTACCCTCCTTTAGGTGTATTTTCCTTCGCATCTAGTGATTGTGGATTATTAACCGTTCAATTACCACGTATAAAAGAAAAAGAAAAAAATTGTAACTTTTAATATATTTTTTGCATTTTTAGGCTTTTAGGGGATGATTCCACCCCTTCTGGGATATTAAGGGTTGATTTTCAATCCGGACAAGACCGTATCAAATACGAAATTAGATATTTTCGCTATCATAATATTATTTTGATAACAACATAGAAATATTTTTTTTACAACTGTTGATGATTCTTAATTTGTTCACTTTGTTTTACTTTTCAACTTCTAAATAAGGGTGATTTTCGAAAATTTTCGAAAAACTGAAAGTGATGCTCATTTTCATTTTTCATGACGGGTTTTTGGATATTTTTAGAATATTTTTAGGATTTTTCCTGTCGCCTCTGTCAGTCTCAAAAACGGATTTTACGGTCACTCTTTCCATTACTGAAACATGAACATAAAAGTATAATTAGTTAATTGTTGTGTTTCTCTGTTTAACAAAAATGCAGACAGGTGTACTGATATTTCTTTTCTTTTACAGCCGGAGAGACGATGTACCAGTGCAGCAATATAGACTATTTTTCCAGAGAAGTGTACAGTCCAGATCCTACGGATTCCACTTTAGCCATCCCTTGTAAGTATTATGTTATAAAGACTACTCTTTTCACGAATAACACTTTTATAACGATGTATTTAAACTATTATTTGAAAATGTGTACATATAATAATAATAATAATAATTCGGCTTTATTGTAACTACAAATATACAATGAGAAATATATATATAAACAAAGAATAAGAAAACAGAACAAAGGTAAACATATTGCGAAAAGCAATGCCACCTCATTCAGGCGAAGTCTAGCTAAGAGCTACTCATACTCAACCAAAATGAGGCACACTACATTTCAAAATAAGAGTATAGAAACAGCTGTCTAACTATTACTAAATAAAAAAAATAAAAAGTAAGCAAACTATAAATAAGCTAATTAAAATTTAAAAAAACAATTTAATCATAATTAAACATGTCTAAAAGTGGCACGGGCAGGTGCGGTTAATGTATAGGAAAATAACCCAATTGTTTGCAAAACATATATTTTTTATATTTATATTTAAATTTGTTAATATTAAAAACTTTAAATTGATTAGGTATTGAATTGTAAATGGTAACTGCATTATATATAAAACTTCTCCTAAACATAGCTGTACGATGATGTGGAAGGGTAAAAGTATTTTTAAATCTAATATCTCTTTGGTGGATGTTGGAACGTTTTATAAATTTGTTTTTTATGAGCAAATGTAGTAAGATGATGAACTCTCCGATTATTCATATTAAGCCAATTAAATTCCTTAATTTTGTGAGAAATATGATCAGACTTTCTTAATCCAAAAATGGAACGACAACATGAATTCTGAACTTTTTGAATACGATTTTTATCAAATTCGTCGAGACAGTAGCCATATATAAAGTCACAGTAATTAAAATGACATAAAACAAGCGACTCGTACAACATTTTACGTAAATTAAAGTTTAAAATATGACGACTCGAAAAAATTAGATTTAAACTAGAATATGCCTTCTGCATAAGTTTTTTTACGTGCCCCTTAAATCTAAGATCAGAGTCAAAAATTATCCCAAGGTTCTTCGCCTCATCTACTATAGGCAAGATGACGCCATTCAAATTGATATTTAAACTAGATTTCACAATATTAATTTTATTTTTACTACCAAACAACATTAACTTCGATTTATTAGGAATTAGCATCAAGTTATGTTCTATTGAGAATTGCATGATATTATTAAGTACAGAATTCATAAGGTCACCAGTCCTTGCTATATCTTCAACAAAAAAGTGTGAATAAAGAACCGTGTCATCTGCATAGGCCTACACTTTACAATCGGAAACAGAATTTAAAATATCAGCGGTGTAAATTATAAAAAGCAATGGACCCAAAATTGATCTCTGCAGTACACCTGACTTTATATTTAAGTTTGAAGAAGAACAATTATTTACAACAATTTTTTGAGATCGATCACTTAAATAAGATGAGATAAGCTCTACAGCAGAGTGATCAAAACCATAGTATTTCATTTTGGCACAAATTAATCCATGGTTTATAGTGTCGAAGGCCTTTGAAAAATCCAGTAACACCAAAACACTAACCGACCCTTTGTCAAATGCTTCTAAAAGATCATTAGTAACAACAGTCGATGCTGTTGTTGTACTATAGCCCTTTCTAAAGCCATTTTGTGAGTCAGGTAGCATTTTATATAGGATAAAATAATCATAAATTTGAAAATACAATACCTTTTCAAACACTTTAGAAATAGCTGGTAAAATACTTATAACTCTTAGATCTGAAAACGTCAAAGGAGAATTATTTTTAGGTATAGGCTTACCAATAGCAATTTTCCATGAATATGGGAAATATTTTGCTTCAATACAACAATTTATAATGTGTGTTATGTATTGATCAATAAAAGGACTACAATATTTAAGCATTGTACAAGATATTCCATCTGTTCCAGTACTCTCAGGTTTTATACTATTCAAAATACTATTCACCTCATTGATAGATGTAAAAGAAAAATTAAACGAATAATTCGGATTTTTTAAATTGTCATTATAAAATTCTATTAGATTGTCACAATTATTATTAACATTTTGAAGAAACGAAGCAAAATAACTATTGATTTCGTTAGGATCGTTTAAATCATCTGGAATATGAAACTGTTTATTAGATCGAACATTTAACTGTTTAAGAGCATTCCAGGTGGCTTTAGAACTTTTTTTCCGAGAGACTGATTGTAAATAACCTTTTTTTTTTCACTTCTAACCATCAACAAACTATAATTAGGAAGTTGTTTATAATTAGACCAATTGTTTTCAGTACGATTTTGTTTAAATGTATATGAACACGTAAATAAACTTAAATTAAAGGAAAACTAAAATGAAGAGAAAGATGTTTATAATAGAAAAAAGACGTTTATACTTAAAATCGTACAAACGGGTTAAGTTAAAATATTAAATTTTCTAAAAAAATAGTGATGTTATAAATAGATTTTTGACTCTATGCAGACAGAATTGTGCACGGTACTATGTAGATAATAATTATATTTCTTACATACAGTTACTAGTTTCAATGAAGCCATGAACAGCAGATTAAGTTTCCTTATCTGAAATTCATTGAAAATGGCGAATCCGCCAATGTTACACAATCCAATATTCTTTCAATAGTAGTTTCGGAATTAGACAGTTTTAAGTGGAAACTTTTATAGGATTTTTGCGATTTGATATTTTGAAGTGCTTTTTTCGGAATTCAATTTTGCAACATAAATTTTTTTGAGGTAAAATCAAAATTGAGTTTTTTACAAAATTAAGATTTCCCTCGAAATCTGCTGCGCTTCATAATAGATATTTCCGAATTATTAAAAAATAATATATTTTTTTAATATAAATACAGGGTGTTTTCTAGAAACTGGTAATACTTTAAAGTTAGTTTATAGATTATCAAGAAAAGCCCTTTCGAAAAATTTCAGGACAGTCCGAGGTTACTGTTTCCGTATTTTCATTTGTATTTTAATTCTCATTGTTACGCCTGTAAAAAAGATTGAAAAAAACACTCACTCATTCTAAGGTGTGTTCCTGGGCACTCCCATTTGTTTTGAAATTTCACAAGTACGAGGATGTTCATTAAAATTGTGTTATAAAGGTGTACCAATGGCAACTTACTCCTGGAGAATATTGTAACAATATGCTCACGTTTTTACTTACCCGTTGATTAATATTTTTAAAATATGCTTACAATTGGCATTGTAAAGTATCCTGTGTTTCTCTAGCTTTTAAAAAAGGTGACAATCATAATTTGCGAAGGTTTTTGAAATATCTTTATACAGGGTGATACAGAACTTATCCAAAAAAATTTTTTTTTTAATGTACAGAGGACTCTTACAAATACAATTTTGTAAAAAAGGGCAGTTCGAAAATTAAAAATAAACTTCTGCACGCACTGGAAACTGGTCCATTGTAAAAACTGATCTTAAGCAAGGCAAAGCATGAAGTCAGCGACCGGCACGGCGGCAAAATGTAATAAAATATGAACGAATTATTTAAGAGAGATTTTTAAGAAAAAGAAATTTAAAGAATTTCCTTCCCAAGGAAAGAAGTAAATTTAATAATAACTATTTTATATCAGCAAATTCAACTACTTTGGCCACTATTGTTATTACTAATTAATAAAATTAATTTGTGGTTTTAATTAAAAAAAAATTAGTCATACCTGATCTTACAAAAAACTTCAAAATTTTGTCCACCGACGTGTAAAACACATTTGGGCCCGTCTTACCTAGTGTATACGAATTAACACAAATGTTGTCTTGTTTCACCATAACACTAATGCTTCACCATAACACAAATCTTGTCTTGCCTCACTAAAAATTAAAACGATATCCATCAACTCCGAGTTGCTATACACGTAAGGCACTTTTGCCACTTGAAAAACTAATGTAAACACTATTGCAACAACGATAATACTAAAATCGGATTTCAGTATTAGGAATGGTCAGAGGCCACGTGGGCGAATGACGCTAGAAACTACAGTAGCCCAGCCATATAAAGGTTGAAAATACTACAACTTCAATAATTTTTTTCTCAGAAACTATAAGTATTTTATAATATTGACTCCATTTTTCATGACACATCTAGTCCCAATTTTTTTTGGATAAATTGTAAATCACTGTATAATTCGATTTATGATACAACGAAATGTCGGAATGTCGACAGTCACAAATTTGTTCAATGTTACACAGTTTACTTCTGAGATTTGATTGCTGAACAAACTAAATTTCATATGGTTTTTCTTCCGCTATAAATAATATGTTAAGCTTTTTGTGTTAATAATAGGAGTTTATATTTTATTAAAGTATATTATATTACCGTGGTTTCTATTCAATTGAATTTGATACAATATCAGGTGTTCACCAAGGTGACGTCTTGGGTCCTTTGCTATCTAATTTATTCATTGATGACATTGTTACCTTAAGGTGAAATGTATTCTCTACGCCATCATTATCAATGTGTATGTGTAACGTTACAAAACAGTTTAAATGCTGTCAATTATGTCTTATTCCAAGAAAAATAATGTCAAACTTTTCAATTATCATCTGAATGAAGAAGTCTTGCATAGAATGAATAATATTGTTGTTCTGGATGTAAAGTAACAACTCAAAATTAGTTTCAGTTTTCATATCGAGAATATTGTCTTGTCTATTTATAAAAATTTAGTTTTTTTAATTCGATTTTCTAAAGGTTAACTTACTGTATAATTCATTTGTTAAAGGTAAGTTCTAAAATTCGCTTATTTAGATTTCAGGTATATAGTATATAATATTCCAATAGCATTGAAAATATCCGAGTTCAATATTCAAAATCTGTAATTTTTAAAGTTGACAATATGTGCCCACCTACTGGCAGTCCTCAAGAGCAACTACTAGATAGATTTTCAATTCTTGGTACGATTTGACAGACGGGAACTTGTTGAATTTTCATGTATCTACTATTGGAACACGAAACTTGAGACCATTTTATTTTTCTATTCCACAAACAAATGCTTTGAAATTTTTCCCTTTACATATGT